AGGCAGCGCCACATCAGCATGCCATGAAGACCAGAGGCAGCGCCACATCAGCATGCCATGAAGACCAGAGGCAGCACCACATCAGCATGCCATGAAGACCATAGGCAGCACCACATCAGCATGCCTGGCTTACAATGCCAGCATTCTGCCTCTCCCTCGTGTCGTCGTCCGCAGCCCTGATGCACAGCCAGCGTCTAGCCAGCGTCGCGCTAGCATAATGCCAGCGTCAAGTCAAAGTCAAGCCAGCGTTGAACCAGCATAGCAAGACTGAATGCTGACCACCTCGAGGYCAAACTTTAAGTAGTGTTTGACGAGGCTCTCYGGCCTCGAGTCTCCTCCCCTCAGTCGTCCAGATTGAGTCACAGCCGAAGGCCTGGATTGTACAGTTGCAGAATTCCCCCTTGGACTTGATGCTGTCTGGGTACCTGCATACAAACAATTGTGTGTGCTTGACCGGTGGCCTGGACTGGGTACCTTTGGACTTTGACTGTTGGGGTCGCGACAGTTGACAAAAGTCAACTGTGGCACGCCTAGGCCCTGAATCCCTGTGTGGGGTCCCTTATCTCGTTTTTTGGCCTGGCTGAGGGCGGCCAGGTCGGCCCTCAGATTTCTACGAGACATATGGCATGGGTTATTGCATCTGTTTCTACCCCTTTCTTTTTTACCCCTTTTATTCTTTGACCCCTTTCTCTTCAACAAGCAGTCAGTCGCTGAAGTGATGCCGTATTGTGAAACCTTCACACAGTGCTACTACCATGCTAGAATATTTTTACGGCAGACTCAGCAGTGGTGTATGGCCACTGGCATCAATTGCATGTGCCTGTCTTATTGCTAGCCTCCGCACACGCTTGCCGTATGCGCCTGCCATGGCGGCACACCAAGTCGCCTGCCACTGAGCGACTTGCCACACATGGCTAAGCATCCACCATGGCTACACCAAACCACCCTCCATCGCTACACCGACGGACCAACCATGGCTACACTGAGGCACCAACCATGGCTACACTGAGGTACCAACCATGGCTGCACCAGGCCACCTGCTGGAGCTATATGTAGCCACCCTTCGTGGCTGCACTGAAGCACCTTATGTGGCCTTACTGCCCACATTGGCAACACCAAGCCAGCTCCCATGGCTGCACCAAACCACCCATCATGAGACATCACTCCAGCCATTGGTTTCACTCGGTGTAGCATGGGTGGTGCGAAATGGGTACGTTACTGGAACGTTAGGGCATACTCTGAGAAATCTAGATGTCGTCAAATCACCAGTTCTTCCAAGCCTGTTTTTCCTGATGCCGATTTCTGCCAGCCGCCTAGTTTGTCGAACCGACGCGGGTGCAAAATCAAATCTTTTTGGCTGGTGCTGCCAGGCTTTTAGTTTGGGTAGGCCAAGCCCCAAAAGACGGGGCTCGTTAACGGCCGTGTCGGAAGTAGCTGGGAAAAGTGCCGGTGGTTTAGACCACCACCAGTACCTAGCCCTGGCAAACTTGAGAACTGAAGTTGCATCAACCTGGGTTCTTCAGATGAACAGTGCTACCGAACCAAAATGGCTGGTGGCTGCCGGTTCGTTTTTCCTTGGCACGCAGTGCAAATCCGCGGCAGGGAAAAGAGGCCCGGAGGTACTGGTGGTTTAAGATACATCCAGGAACGTGTGTGTGGTGATCCCCTCAATAATGAACATAAGGTACATCCTGGAAATTGTGCGTGGGTATGTCCTTAGTAATGAACAGAGCAAATAGGAAACCATGCAAAGGGTTGCACGTAACCTGCACTTGTGAAAGGCTGCTGAAGGTATGGGTCAGTGCTGAAGAGTCGCTCGATGGCAAAGATGGAGAGTCGCTCGACGGGGAAGCAGATAGGTGTGCGTGCATTTGGCACAAGTGTAGGTTGAAGGGAAGAGGACGTAATGTGGTTGCACTAGAACTGGGCCTGGGTGCGTGTGAATGAGTGAATTGACCGGTGGCTGCTAGAATGTAGGTTCAAAAACTTCAAACAGACAGAGAAGTAAGTTCCAAAGTGGGCGAAACTGTAAACAGTAAAAACTATGTTCTTGGGTCGTTTACCACCATGCGCGTGATGCCATTGAGATGCGTCATGACATCTGTAAGTTTACGAAACCTATTTGTGTGTGTTAAAATGTTGACAGAGATCTCGGAACGAGACAGTGATTATGATACTGAGTATGAATCGCACCACGCTATTTCCTTGTTGATGCTGTTATTTGCTGTTTATGCAGATGGCAATGCCTCCCGGGACGAACATGTATCAGGTATGTTTTGCAGCAGAACAGCAGCGCAGCAGCGCCAGGAACGGCAGTGGCTGCTGCCAGTAAGAGCAGCAAACAAACAGCAGCAAACAGCAGCAAACAAACAGCAGCAAACAAACAGCAGCAAACGAACAGCAGCAAACGAACAACAGCAAATGAACAGCAGCAAACAAACAGCAGCAAACAGCAGCAAACAAACAGCAGCAAACGAACAGCAGCAAACGAACAGCAGCAAACGAACAGCAGCAAACGAACAGCAGCAAACGAATAGCAGCAAACAAACACCAGCAAACAAACAGCAGCAAACAGCAGCAATCAAACAGCAGCAAACAAACAGCAGCAAACAAACAGCAGCAAACGAACAGCAGCAAACAAACAGCAGCAAACAAACAGCAGCGAACAGGAGTAACAGCAGCATCAGATTCATTGCACTTGTACCCTCCCAGCAGAAGAGACCAGTCATATTCGGCGGGGAGGGCACCAGTGCAATGAATGTGATGCTGCGGTTGTTTACCTAGCGTACTCCAGGGGAGACTCTGTTTGGTTATTACCGCTGTGCTGTATCTAGACTGAAAGCTGCCCGAAATACTGCTATAATGACAGGGCGCTCTATTTGGGCGAAGATGGTAGGCATTATTGATACCAAACAAAGAGAGTAAAGCATTAGAGATTAAATAAATAAATAAATAAGCGGATCATAGAATGATCCATTTATTTCATCTCTAATGCTTTAGTCTATTTGTTTGGTATGAATAATGCCTACCGTCTTCACCCGAATGCAACGCCCTGTCATTATGGCTGTATTTCGGGCCACTTTCAGTCTAAATACAGCACAGCGGTAGAATGCCCAGGCGTTCTTTTCTTCAAAAGGGTGACAGCCAAGATATCATTGTCAAACTGACGGGCTCAAGGTAATTCAGGGTATGAATTTTGTTCATCTGGTGGTTCCATCTGTGGATTCGAACTCGGGTCTGCATTTCATTTTTCAACAGTTTATGGGTGTACCGACCGAGCTAAGCCCGCTGGTTATGACAAGGTGTTCTATTCGGTCGGTCAGCTGAAGATAGTAGTCTTCCTGCTTTTCGTTGATCTGGTGCCAGGCTATGTTCGGGACTTAGTTCTGTTTGTTAGGATCGCTGGACCACAGACACACCCCGCCCCGCCCTTCTGTTCAGCTGGGAAATGGAGTGATCTGATCATGGTCCATGACCAGGTGGACCGCTCTCCACTCCACATCAAGGAGAGGATATGACTGTGTTGATCACCAAGGCTCTGCCCAGCAGAGACATCATCGTCGTTGCGCCGTCCTCCTACCTCGTTGCTGAGACTTTGCAAAGTCCTTCTAAGTTCTAAGCCATTTGTGCACCAGGGCTATCTCTTGCCACTAGGATCTCTCTCGATATCTCAAAGGTGTTTCAGGTTGTTCTCGTGTGATTCGGCTCTCCGGCACCTCGACCACAGGGTTTTTCTCATCAGAAAGCCACCACCCGTCGTTCTTGCTCAGCTGACAACGCTCCTTCCATCACCCTTGCCAATCCTTGAGGGATTCTGCGGTCGGGATCAACCCAGTTAGATCCATCTGCAAGCAGGATTACTGCAGGAAAGGACGGACGTATGGTGGATGGCCTGTGCCGGGGTTGACTCAGCTCTGAAATCCTTTGGAATCGGCACCGACCGCCCTTTGACATCAGCGCAGGCCTGTGCCGGTGTTGAGCTCGGGAGGTTCCTTTCGTAAGAAGGAAGCAATTGATTTCCGGTACGAAAAGCGAAAAGCAAAATTCGAGGGGATAACAGATCGCCCTGGCGTACTGATCTGGAGATCGGACATCTCTCTATATCAGATCTGGAGATCGGGCCTCGCTCCACTAGTGACCAAATGTGCAGAATGAGAAAGAAACGTCCACTAGAACACAGGGAGATACTACAGCATACCTTTTGTCTTTTAGGCATGAGGTGAGTCGTGGAGCAAGGCGCATCCTCCCATGTATTTGTGATTTTGCACAACCCGAGAGTGTTATCGTACATCCCCTTTGTGGACTGTTCTGAGGGGGATGCACACTCAACACCCATCTTTTGGGGGAGGGGGTGCTCACCGATTTCCTGCAGTTTGGGCCATGCGGGGGGGATGGGGGTTGCACACCCATCTCTTCTTTTCCATACTGGTGTTTAGGAAAGGACAGTTAGCTCCCCCCCCCCCCCCCCCCTCCCTGTGCCCCAAACTGCAGGAAATCAATACGCCTTCTTGAAGCCTTCTTGAAGCCTTCTTGAATGAAGTCGATGAGGAGAATAGCTGCTTTCATCTTTTATTCTCTCACCTTCCTAGCAGCTTCGTTTGATGAAGAGATAGACATCGACCGGAAGGTATAATGATCCTTGTATGAAACTGGCGTGATGTATATTAACCATGGTTGCCCCGGACACGGACAACCGGACAACTGGACACAGTCACTGGACCCGTGTCGGGATTAAACTGGACGTCTGGTTAACCGGACATCTAACCGGACATCTAACCGGACATCTAACCGGACATCTAACCGGACATCCTGACAACCAGACCCGGACAGTCCGGTTGGGTGTATCAGTGTCCGGTTGTCCGGTTAAAAAAAAAAAAAGCACACATGACACGAACACAGACACACACAGGTTTGTGGAACTGGTCCAACATGCTTATAACAATTGATAATATTAACGTACGAACTCCAAAGTTTGAAACTTTGAATCTTGAACCGGCACACATGGCACAAACACAGTCATGCTTTTTTGAGTGTATAGCGAATATGACAACACACACAGAGCAAAGTTCCACACCCGCTCCAGCCCCCAAGTATCCCGCCTCAGTCTGTCGACTCTGATTGTTTGCGATTCTTGGGGCAAGACGGCAACCTCCTCGTTGGCGGCAATCTCCTGGACTCGTGGGCAATGGACGAGCTTGAGCTGGCGATGGCATTGCTGCAGCAGGCGGGAACTTCGAGGAGAGCGCTGCTACACCAGGCGGAGCGCTGCTGCATGAGGCGCTTCGTTTGAAAATGAGGTCCTGCCGCCGGAGGGAAACCAACACCAGGATACTGCGGCTGCTACTGCCCTCCGAAGTTGTCCAACAGCGGGCCTTTCAGGGCCGGTTCGGTTGGGGTGATGGTCGACAAAAAACTACAGCCGCAATTTTCTGGGGTACCCCAGGCCCAGGAAAATGGCCTAGGGACCCCATTTTTTTTTTTTCCAATTCCTTGAAATGAGGGTCCAACCGGACCTTCCAAACCGGACACCGGACATCGGACTGTCTGGATCGGGATGCGGACGTCCGGTTGGCAACCATGATATTAATGCGTTTGTCTATCGAGTATAGCGTCCTGAACGCTCAGGCTTTGGCCAAAATTTTATATGGCAAAGTCAGGAAGGAAATGTGGATGGYYTTTTTTTTTTTTTTTTTTTTTTTTTTTTTTTTTTTTTTTTTTTTTTTTTCAWTKTKTWTCATGTGTATGTTTTTTTTTTTTTTGAATTTTATGTGCTACCTTAAACCGTTCTTGTGGAGGAGGGTGACCACGCTGGTGCTGAGGAGATCACCCAACCCACACCACTGTTCCAGCTGTCGTTGAACAAAAAAAAATAGTCGATTTAATTAAGCAGATTGTCCTCCGTCAGAGGCTAACATTTCTCCGGAAGTTCTTTTTTTTTCTAATTTTTGTATTACTATTCCATCAATTCCCGGTCTCTAGTTGCTATTCATATTTTGCACTGCCAAAAAAAAAAAAAACAGTTCCTCTTTGGATGGTGGTCTTTCTAATTCGTACCGGTTTCTGTCATTCCAAGAAGGGAAAGTCCGAGCCTCATGCAGTTACTATAAAAGGAAAAAGAAGAGCCCTGGCAATTAGTGGTAGTTCAAGTCATCCGCAATCCTTCATACTGTTCGTTGCGTGGTGTCTGTCACTGGTATGTATGAGTGAGGTGTGTGGGGACCACCACAATGCATCACAGCATGAGGGGCACAGTGAAAGGAAAACAGGGGTGTCTGTGGAGTGGTCAATCCGGGCTGTCACTACAGTCGCCGTTGGGCGCGAGTCGTATATGATATGCCAGACGGTGGAGGTGATTTAAATATAAAAAAAAAAGAAAAAAAAGGTGCATGTGATGGATATGGAGCAAACTCATGCATGGATGAAGAGAAAGGGAGGGGAAGGGAAAGAAGTCGTGATTTGGAAGAAGCCATGTGGGCAAAGGGTGAACAATATACATAGTACATACATGTAATTGTTAGTACACAGATGTGGAGTTTGAATCCTGATAGAGTCCCAAATTCTCCCAATCTATCAGATGAGTTCAACAACGTTAGGGGCTACCGTTCCCCTTTTGCAAAAAAAGAGGAACAAAAAAGGGTGTCACAGATACATGTTGAGTGGGAAACGGAAAAAAGAAATGGAAGTCAAGTTGCAGGAATGAAATGTAAATTGGCAGTGTGTACTACTGAGTAGGTTATATCAAACCGTATGACGGATTCGAGAGAACAATGCCCAGGGTGACTGACACCAGCGTTAGGCCACACTCATGCTTGCTCTTTGTTCGACAGGATTTGGCAGTAATTGCGGTCAAAATACATCCTTGTGCGAGGCCATATTGTGTCTGTGGCCAGAAAGCAAGGTCGGTACACCCAAAGGGCCCTGACCTGTCCAGCTAGCTGATCCGGTAGGGACCAGGCTGGTAGGTAGTCCCTACCCGGCAGGAAGACCCCGGCCTGAAGACACAAGGGAGACGCCAGAGGCAGCGGGCGCACATTGGGCAGCGGGCGCTTGCTGGCTGAGCTCTCGCAGAAGAGGTGGATGTAGCGTAGCAGCCAGTTCCCTGGAGAGAAGCGCTAGCGGTGCGCTGGCGAGCACGAGCACCCACCATAGCTTGTGAGGCACAGCAGTAGACAGAGAAGGGTGTCAACGTGGGACTTGGGAGTAGGGGAGGGTGTGGGACAGGTGGATACTTACCTAGTTGCCGGCAGGGGAGCTCCAGCATGGTCAGACTCTCCAGTGATCAGCACAGAGAGAGAGAGAGAGAGAGAGAGAGAGAGAGAGAGAGAGAGAGAGAGAGAGAGAGAGAGAGAGAGANGAGAGAGAGAGAGAGAGAGAGAGAGAGAGAGAGAGAGAGAGAGAGAGAGAGAGAGAGAGAGAGAGAGAGAGAGAGAGAGAGAGAGCAGCGGATCGGTACATTGTAGGCTAGACTAGGAAGCAGTGTAGGCGGCATACCTGAGCTGAGGGGTACTACTCTGTTGTTGTACGGATTGAGTCACAGCACTTTCTTAAAATGTGTTTGACCGCAATTACAACCGGGCCTGGACGAATCTGACCGCAATCTTGTCCAGAGCTCAGTCAAAGAAGTCCTAGTGTGAGTATGCCCTCAGCATCTGAGATGGTCTCATTTTTCAACTTTTATCAAGTTTTTTGCATATTCGGTACTATACCGATAATCCGTTCACCTCCATCCCCTCCTTTATTTTTCTTTTCAATACAAACCCAGGTCCTTCTGCCCCTGGCTCCTTATCCATTCTGGGGAGCACATCTGTTCGGTTCCTATCCCCCCCGGGCAAGTTGAGGGATGTGACATCATTTACACGCACTCACACGCTTCCTTCCGTTACATCATTTACAGGGAGCAATCAAATGCTCTGACAGAGGGATCCCTGAACAGAAGGATCCCTGACAGGGAGCAATCATTTACAGGGATGTTACATCATTTACAGAAGGATCCTTCTGTTGAGGGATCCCTCTGTTACAGCATTTTATTGCTCCCTGTTACAGGAGGATACATACATTCACCTCCCTTCTTGCAAACAAGTATTTGAAAAAAAAGGGAAAAAAAAGCAAGACTAATCTGTGGTCTCCCTTGGTGGCCTTCTTTTCCATGTCGCTAATGCAGATGGCGATGCCTCCTGGTGGAAGTCCGTATCAGGTGTGTTAGCAGCAGTAGCAGCTGCAGCAACATATATTCCCCTCCCCTCCCCTCCCCTCCCCTCCAGTCTCTCTCCTCCCCTCTCTCCAATTACTTGTTGGCGTCTTATTGACATCTTCAACTTCACGTTTCCTTCCTGGTTTGTGTTGTTGCATTGCGGATTCACATTTAGAAATTGTTGATTAGATCAGGTTGCTGCCATCATCCTCTTCACCCATGTAGGTTTAGTAACTTAGATTGTTTTCGGCTATGTCCTCGGTACTGATGCATTTTACATTTCTATCCCTTGGACAATTTGACCGGTACCCTTCTTGTACCGACGGATTCGTACATACCCCTGAGCCCAGCCTAGCCATCAGGCTGTTCCCAGGTATATGTACCAGTCTCACACACTGGCGAGACATCTTGTGCTGTACTCTGTTTTCAGACATTGAGTGTGAGTTCGACATTGACTTGCTGCTGATACCTCCTCTGAGCTTCCCTCATCGTACCAGTCTGCTTGGGAGTGAGTGTGCGTTCGACGAGGAGGAGGAGGTGTGAAAGGGAGTGAACACACACTCATACCCTCCTCTGAGCTTCCCTCATCGTACCGGTCTGGTTGGGAGTGAGTGTGAGTTCGACGAGGAGGAGGAGGTGTGAGAGGGAGTGAACACACACTCACAACCAGTCTAAGTTCTGCGTCAGAGTCTGGTTGTGAGTGTGAGCGTGTGTCCACTCCCTCTCACACCTCCTCCTCCTCGTCGAACCCAGTGAGAACAGCGATTTATAAAATTGGTCAGGGAAGAACAGTGCCTCAGAGACAGATATAGAGACACAGAGACAGACACAGACACAGACACACACACGCACAGAGAGAGAGAGAGAGA